GAGTACAGGGGTAAGATCCCTTCCCTGTCCCTGCTGGCCATGCTATTGCTGACACAAGCCAGGATGCCGTTGGCCTTCTTGGCCACCTGGGCACACTGCTGGCTCCTGTTCAGCTGGCTGTCAATCAACACCTCCAGGTCCCTCTCTGACTGGCAGCTCTCCAGCCACTCCTCCCCAAGCCTGTAGCGCTGCTGGGGGCTGTTGTGCCCCAATGCAGCCCCTGGCATTTGGCCATTTGAAACTCCTACAGTTGGCCTCAGCCCAATGCTCCAGCCCACTCCCACCCAACTTGGTGTCATCTGCAAACTGACTGAGGGTGCACTCAATCCCCTTGTCTAGATCATCAATAAAGATGTTAAACAGGAGTGGCCCCAAAACCAAGCCCTGGGGGACACCACTCATGACCAGTCACAAACTGGATTTAACTCAATTCACCACAACTCTTTGGGCCCAGCCATCCAGACAGTTTTTAACCCAACAAAGTGTGTGCCGATCCAAGGTGCGAGCAGCCAGTTTTGCCAGGAGAATGCTGTGGGAAACGGTGTCAAAGGCCTTACTAAAGCCAAGGTAGACAACATCCACAGCCTTTCCATCATCCAATAAGCAGGTCGCCCTGTTGTAGAAGGAGATCAGGTTTGTCAGACAGGACCTGCCTTTCATAAACCCATGCTGACTGGGCGTGATCCCCTGGTTGTCCACTATACGACTTTTAATGGCACCCGAGATGACCTGCTCCACAACCTTCACTGGCACGAAGGTCAGACTGACATGTCTATAGTTTCCTGGATCTTTCTTTCTGCCTCTCTTGTAGATGGGTGTCACATTTGCCACCCTCCAGTCCAATGGGACCTCCCCAGTTAGCCATGACTTCAGGTAAATCATAGAAAGTGGATTGGCGAGCACATCTGCCAACTCCCTCAGCACCCCTGGGTGTAACCCATCCTGTCCCACAGTCTTCTGTGCATCCAAGGGGTGTAGCAGGTCTCTGAGCACCTCCTCTTCAACTGTGGTGACCTCAATCTGCTTCCCCTCACCATCTCCCAGCTCATGGGACTGGGTGTCCAGGGAACAGCCAGTTCCACTACTCAAGACTGAGGCAAAGTAGACATTGAGCACCTCAGCCTTTTCCTTATCCTTTGTTACCATGTTTCCCTCTTCATCCAGTAAAGGAGGGAAATACTCTCTAATCCTCCTTTTGCTATAAATTTTAGAAACATTTTTATCCTTAACAGCTGCAACAGTGTTGAGCTCTAGCAGCACTTTGGCTCTCCTAATGTTCTCCCTGCATAACTTCACTACATCTTTACAGTCTTCATGAGAGACCTGCCCTCTCTTCCAAAGGCAATAGATTCCGCTTTTGGTCTTGAGATCCAACCCAAGGTCCCTGTTTAGCCAGGTCGGTCTCCTTCCCCTCCTGCTTGGTTTTCAGCACACGGGAACATCCTGCTCCTGTGCCTTTAATGCTTCACTCCTGAAGTATAACCAGCCTTCCTGGACTCCCATTTCCTACAGGGCAGCCTCCCAAGGGATTTTATTAATCAGTCTTTTGAACAGGTCAAAGTTAGCCCTGTGGAAGTCTAAGGTGGCAGTTTTATTAACCTTTGTTTCTCAAAGGATCGAAAACTCAATCATCTCACGATCACTGCACCCTAGATGGCCTCCAACCTTTACCTCACCCACAAGCTCTTCCCTGTTCACAAGCAGCAGGTCCAGGAGGGCACCATCCCTGGTCAGCTCACTCACCAGCTGTGTGAGGAAGTCATCCTCCACACATATCAGGAACCTCCTGGATTGTTCCCTCTCTGCTGTGTTGTGTTCCCAGCAGATACCCACAAGAACAACAGCAAGTGACTGTGAGATTTCTCCCAACTGTCCAAAAAAAAGCTTCATTCACCTCACTGCTTTGGTTGGGGGGGTCTATAGCAGACTCCCACAGCAAGATCTGCTTTATTGGTCCTTAACCTAATCCACACACTCTCAACCCTGTTATCACTATACTTGATTTCTGAGCTTTCATAGCATTCTCTTACATATAGGGCCACTCCACCGCCTCTCCTTCCCTGTCTATCCCTCCTGAAGAGCTTGTAGCCATCAGTTGCAGTACTCCAGTGGTGTGAGGCATCCTACCACGTTTCTGTTATAGCTACTATGTCATAGTTCTCATTATGCATCATGGCCTCAAGCTCCCCCTGTTTGTTGCTCATACTGTGTGCACTGGTATAGATGCATCTGACATGAGCTAATGAATCCAACACTCTTTTGTGAGTGTGGGTCCTGTTCCCTACCAGACCCTTCTCAGATGCTTCCACAGTTCCTAAACATCTTTCCTTTCTCTCAATGAAATGGCAGAGGGAAAGCCCTCATGAATGCCTCACGAAGCCTTGGCATGCTTCCCTTAATCTTGTTCCTAACATGCACAGTTATCTCTCTGTCCCACCTCATATCTAGTTTAAAGCCCTGTCAATAACCCCTGCTAACTCCTTCCCCACAATCCTTTTCCCCTCTGAGACAGATGCATCCCACCTGTCTCATTTGCTGCAAGCAGACCAGGTGCCTTACAAAACTCACCATGATCAAAGAAGCCAAAATTCCAACGGTGGCACCAGTCTCTGAGCCACGTGTTAATTAGATATCTTTTCCATCCCCTATCAGTGGTTTTCCCTTCCACTTGAGGGATTGATGAAGACACCGCCTGAGCTCCCAAGCCTTCAATTAGCCACTCCAGTGCTTTGAAGTCCTTTTTGAGTGACTTAAGACTTCTCTCTACCACCTCATCATTACTTGCCTGGATAACCAATAAGGGGTAGTAATCAGAGGGTTGCACAAGAGTAGTGACTTTCCTTTTAATATCTCTGACCCGAGCCCCAGGAAGGCAGCAGGCCTCTCTAAGGTATGTGTCTGCTCAACATATGGGCCCATCCGTACCCCTCAGAATAGAGTCACTCACTACAATCACCCTTCCCTTTCTAGCGAACAATTTAATGTCTAGTGAAAAAATCTAGTTCTAGGCAGGGATGGACTTAGATTTGTTTTTAACTATTTTTTAAGCAATCAAGAGAGATAGGTTATCTTGAATGTAACTAATTGTACTAAAGTTTCATTAGTTATACTGGACTTTATTTTGATCACCTCTGCTGAGGTAGACAAATCCTTTGAGATGAATAGTACTGCTAGTTAAACAGCAAATATGTTCTTGACAAGGGCAGAATCCACCAGACTTAGAAATACCAATGTTATTTCCCTTTGTTCAGGTTCCATATCTTTAATATATTTCCAAATCATATTTTGTTTATAAATTTGCTAATTGCTCCAATCAGTGGCTTATGTAAAACCAGGACATTTCCTTTAAGTAACACAGAGAGAGACTGAACCTTTGAGCTGTGAGATATCTATTGTTTACAGAACATTTGGAAACCTACAGAGTATTACAGTCTTCTCAAAATGGATGCAAGTACTAGGAGAGAAAAATGGTGAGAAGCTAACTACTAAGGATAACTCATGTCACCATAAAAATGTGCATTTGCAAGAAATTCCTTAGAAATAATGATCAAAATGATCAAAATAGACAAAATGTCCCACATCTTTGCAATATAAAGCCAGATTACACTGAATAATTCTGATGTGTAATTGGAACTAGATATAGTTTTAAAATCTAACAGGATTTTAACAATCAGAAAAATTTTAAGAGCACAATACCTCTTTTTACTGTTGTTTTCTACTGTTCTGTTTATTTTAGCACTGTTTTTCTGCTCCTAGCCCTCATCTAACATGAACATCTACTTCTGGGAAGACTTGAAAAGACTATGTGTTGATAGCGAAAATTTCTCTCATATTTTGGAGAATTTCCCCTCTCCAAGGGCACTCTAGCCAACCTCTTAAACAATATTTACTGAATCTCTTTCCACATTGTACAAGGCGACCATTTACATTCTTTTACAAAGCCTACAAAAAGTGGGTAAAAGTTGAAATGGTGTACTAAAACCACTGTAAGGGAGTGATTGCTAAGACTGTTCCAGCAGAGGATTGGAGGCAAACATAAGGAGCAATGTGGGGGAGCTGGAATGCCCCACTACAACTAACTATAGAAGATATCAGCACATGATAAGGATAAGAGTCATCCTCCCTTGTATGAAATTATCATTCAATATAAAGCAGCATATTAAAACTACTTCCTTAGTAAATTCTTCATACTCTAAGCATGTTTTATTATTCTATTTGTCCTGTTTGAGGCAAAAAGTCTGACCACTTCCCTATTTTAATCTACTTTCTGCAACACTGTTGGAAAACATCTCTGATAGACATTACTAAACTGGACAAGGGATATATGCATATGCCCACACACAGTCTTAGTAATCACTCCCTTATAATGGTTTTAGTACTCCATTTTAACTTTTTTTCTGGAGCTATTTATTAAGGGAATTGGCTATTTTTTCTTCATTGTACATTTATGACTCTCTCTCTCTAACTGTGCTCCATGTGCTAAAATCAGGTTGAAAAGCTTTCTGAGGGGCTGCAAGTAGCCCCTCCAAAGCCAGAATAAATAATCTGACTTTAATGAAATAATATTAATGGGGAAGCTGGGATAGCCAAGTAACAAGTGTGCATTTATGTGTATGGCTTTCAAATTACCATCGACACCTGTATCATAAACTGATACCAGAAATAGGCTAAATGGATACAGTGCTGTTATTACTATTGCTATTATTTTACAACATTCAGGAGTGTGCAGATGCCTTACAGTGCAGATAGATACTGTTCATATTCCCACACTTGCAACAGGGGTAGCAGGTGGATCTCTGATCCCTCTAATTCACTGTAGAAATCTTTACACAGGTTAATCCAGATGTGGTGGTTATACATTTCATGCTTCCTTCCTTCCAAAGAAAAAGCAACCAGGAAAGGGAATCTGAATTCCTTCTGAAGTAAGAGAGTAAATGTAAAAAGAACTTATTTAGCCATAATCAGATATACAGTATATAAGAAAAGAAAGCTACCTTTACCTGTGAAATAAGACAGACTTGACAAGTGTGACAACATCCCGACTGGCATTGTACCCTGCACAAACAATGGCAACGTGAATGGTCTGTGGGAGAAAAGGAACAAAAAGAATAAAAATTACAGTCTGCTCCTGTGTTCTAACATTCATTAAGGAGGGCATATACATGACTGCTATTCTTTAATGAGATGATTGTTAAAAGGTTTGAGTGGGCGTTTTGCACCTGTTTGCAGCCTACTTAAGGTAGTTTGTTAAAAACATCTTGAGTCGTAACACCATCATATCAAAGTCATTACTATCCCTAAATTACATCAGATATCTGAACAGAATTGAATTTATTAACGAAGAGCATATGTGTGAACGTCTGTATACACATATACTAATTTAGCAACACACAAATTCTGAGTATGCAAACATGCAGACACTTTAACCTTCAAAGTTTAAAATTATGTCTGATAATTAGAAGCAGATATCCTCTTAGAAATGTTTCATTATTTCTGTCTTAAGGACACCTTCTAAGGAGAGGGAGAACAAGCTCTGATGGATAAGCATGACTGGGACAAGTGGTCTGCCAGGGGCTGGGTACATCCCAACGATAAGATAGGACAGAGCCTGTGAAGGCAGGCAGTCACTACCCTGCCTGTGACTACCAGTACGGGCTGTATTGGGCAGTGTTAATGTGAAGTTAAATACAACACCACCCCCCCACCCCCCATTCTCCTCACACCAGCACCTTGGTAAATTATCACTTATTATGTGCCTTCTTACCTCCCTATTAATATGAGGCAGAAGTTTACTCATCTCCACAAAAGGAAAGGGAAAATCGAAAAGGCATTACTAGTCATTATTCTTAAGGTAGTAATAATTTGAAAAATGCTATTTACTATTCTGTGGTTTTAAAATCAGCCACTGACATTCCCCGGGAACAAAAGAAAATTTATCTTAGCAAGTTTTGACTCCAGCTTCCATATTTTTCTGTTTCTCAGAGGTCACAGAAATGAAAGAGAGTTCACCATACTGGCAGCACAAAGCTGTGACTGGAGACACAGCTGTGAAACTGCAGGGAAGCCTTATTTGGCTTCCATTGAAGCTTGGGTAGATGTTTTTTTCACACACAGATCTCATTTTCCACAGAAAGCCCACTACACAGAGAACAAATGAGGAATTCTGCCTCCTCACATAGTCAGATATTCCCAAAGTCTGGCTTGTAACAGAAGCATATTTACATAAGAGGTGGCATGTGCTGGGAACGTCTAAAGAATCCGTAGCCCCATCCATTAACATCAACTGGTACAGGTTACAATTTGATTCATATAATTGCCAAGCAGCTGTGCCATTGTTCAACCTCCACATGAACATCACAGCTGCCTCCAGCCCTCGTGTGCCTCACAAGCACAGTGAAGATCTGAGGTTTTAAGAGGACTTGAATTAATAAGGTAACTGTCTGTCCAGAGAGTTGTCGGAAAGAAAAGATATCGCAGTACACTTTCTGTGAGGTGTTCAGCACTTTAAATTTATGTTGAAGTCAATAGCAGTTGAGCATGCTCAGCAATTTGCAAAAACTGATTGTGTTTCTTGTGATAACAATAGGAGAACAGAAGATTTTTATTTTAGAAGTGGTTTGTACCATACTTATGGGCATGGGTTCCTGTGGCTGCATAGATTTCTGACACTGCACACAATGCTGCCTCTCTGGTTGCCACAAGGTCTTTCTCTGGTTTCTGGAAAACCTAAGATCCTTCCCTTCAATGCCAATTAAAATAAAACTAGCTGAGAATAATTTCATGTCTGCTTTAAACACTTCACCTGAAGATGCTGGGCCAGACACAAGGATTTTATGGGTTGTGACAGAATAGCACTGTCATATCACTGCCAATGTAATTTTATACAACCTCTGCTTGCCAGAAAAGCTCTTCTCACACCCTCTCCATCCACTTTAGAACTCCCCTCAAAATCAGAGTTAATTCTGTCAAGGACTTGCCCACATCTGTTCTCCTCTTCCTAAATGAGTTTGTTTCAAAATTAAAAGCATGCTTTCCTTGCTGTCTTATAGCAGGTGCTGTTGTCTTGCATGCTGTTTCAGTCAGGGCACAGTGAGAAGACAACACTTGCTGCTCGACTGAATGTCTTTCTCTGGTTCAGAGACACAGGCGAGTTCGTACACCTTTCACTCAGCGTCTCTGCACTGTTTGATACTACATATCACTTCTATTCCCACCTGCCATCAGCTACAGAAAAAGCAATAATCCTCAAATAGAATAGAAACCTAGTCCTTTTTTTCCAAAGTTTTTTCCTGCAGCATGATGCAAGACTCAAAGTCTGTCCCTCTCCTTTTCTTGATTCACTTTCCTCTCATTCATTGTTTAACTGTTAAATAAAGTCAGTGGAAAAACAGGTAAGCCAACATGAGGTCATCAACCTGAACTGTCTGCAGATGTTTGCATCCTAATGAAAAAGGTTTTATTTCTCTTTTTCTCCATGCTTGTTCCAAATACATATTTGGCTAGAGAGTCACTGGCTGTAGCCAAATCCTGGTAAGACAGGGAAATAATGACTGGAAGGAGGAAGCACTTCAAAGAACTTGCATCCTCCTGAGTATACTACTGTAAGCATCAGCTCCCAGATTGTGAAATTAGTCAGCAGCATCACAACTCTCAAACTCTTCATTTTTCATCCGTAGATGGCTAGAAGATTGTATCCCTATCCCACCAGAACTGGCCACTGTGATTCACACAACCTCTGGACTCAATGACTGCAGCTAACAGGAGTGAAGCCACACAAGCAAAGAATGCCTCAACTCCCACAATATATGGCAGACTGTCTGGTTGGTCCAACATGTCTCTCCAGACATCTCACACAAGGGCTCTGCATGCTACACTTGCTCCTCACTGTTTACAATCCATGATAATTCCATTTGTCAAACTCTAGCCTGGATATTCAGAAGTCACTGCAGGACCAAACTGAGCTCGTTGAAAGTGTCCATCCTCTTACAATGCTCTTTTTAAATTGAATAATAGGCATGTTTATCACTAGTAGAAGTTGCAAGAAGTCCGGACACAGGCCATTCACTGAAGCTGCTTTTAGACAGTGACACTAATTGCAGCAACAGATTAAATTATGATATATCTTGCTTTCCAGACTCCATGAATTCTTCTTCCGTTTATACGTACAGGTATGATGGGTAAAGAAAACACTGTGGAAGTTAATCACACTCTTCTTCCTATAGAGTGGGGATCAGGGACACAAAGAGTACTATTTTTTATTTTAAATAGTTTAGGAAGCATTCAGGCCCAGGTATGTCAAGGCATTTAAGGAAGTTAAGCTTCTTTAGAAAAGGGAGTTTAAATAACACCAAGGTGCATGTTAACATAGTTTAGAAACCCTTACTTAACCACTTCAGACAAGGAAAAACTGTTTCTGAAGCAGTATTCCATATAAGTTCATTCTGGGGTAATACTAATGGGAAGAAAGTATCCAAAACAACATGAAAAACTGTGCCTTAGATCCCATGCTGATAAGAAGTATAAGTTGCCTAGAGAAACAGATATTATTTTTCCTCCTCAGGTGACCTTTCGGAATGGTGAAATAATGACCTTAACAAACTAATTAATTCTTACAGTTAAAATAATATTTGCTAAACCATTTCATACTTCAATAATTTTCTAGTAGTACTAGCCAGGTCTACTACTGCAGTTACTTAATCCTTCACAAGTAACTGTTGAATGTGATTAAAGAATATTAAAAGCATGTTACAAAAATGTAAATATGCTACAAATGGTTCCCAGAGGCAGATAACATCTGGTTTTCTTGTATTAGAGTCCTTAAGTTGATTGGGGCCTGTTCTTTGTGGCTCTGGAGCACTACACACTTAAATCTATTGAGCAACACCATTGAGAATAGTAACAATACAAATACTCCTGTAAAAATGCTTTGAACGTTAATGCCCACTAAATGCTATACTGCTAATTAACCATTTTATAATATATAATATCTTTAAAATATATTTATAAATACACAATTCAAACAAAATGCCCAGTTTATGGAGGCACAAGCTGGAAAGATATTTGGTTAACATCTTAAGAAAGAGCCATATAATTCTGTTAGCTTCCATCAGCATTATGCTCTCTGAAGCCTGTTATTTGTGTCCACATTTGTGTAAAGACTATTCTTAACTTGTATTTCCAAGGTTCGTGTTAAATTTTTTTCCTACTGGGAAGGCATGACAGGGATCTGTTTCCTCCAGGAAGAAGGCCCTTGGTTGGAACCCTGATTTTTTCCTTGCAGTATACCTTCTTCTCCCCCAGAGCCCCAGTCTTCTTCCCAGGAACCCTGTCTTTTTCTACCCAAGTTGTTGACTTGCTGCAATATATTCCAGGCTCAGAGGCTAAAAAAGATTTCATTTAGACCTCTGAAACACTGAAAATGGAGGGGTGAATGGAGTCAAGACACTACTCACACAAACATGGAACCAAAATCTACAGTAATGGGATAAATGAGGAGACCTCTGGCAAATCTGATAATAAGGAAGTTTAATTTTAACTTCCACTGCTGTTACTGAATTACTGAGTGAATTCCTTAAGAAAAAGAAGAAAAAGCTATTTCGTTATCAGAATTGTGTGTGGTGAGATATGAGGATCGCAAATAAAGTGAGGTTTTGTATTTTCCATAACCATTGCCTCCAGCACAATGCTAAACCCCACTGAGCAAGTAAATTTATTGGCAAAACACATTATAAACTGAAAGGCCACTTAAACTATTTCTCCTTTAAGCTGCTATTTTTGTGTCCCAATTGGTTGATACATTGAACAACAAAGAACTGGAATTCAGCTCATCACTCCTTAGCATGATAATAAGGAAGAATTGAGGTTTGTTTATTGATGGCATGAACCTTCCCTTATTAAAAGAAATGCCAAAATGCTCACAGGGAGGAAAATCAGACACTCCTTATCAGAAGGAGGGAAAATGAAAACCAGATGCATCCTTTTCCCTCCCCTTAAAATAATGTCAGCTTCTTTTTTCCACACTGACAAAGTTGTCCAACTCAATAGCAGTAATTCATTTTTAAATGACATTTGATATTTGCCCATTAAATAGACTTTATCTGAAGAGATAATTCGGACTTTTTCTCTCCCAATTTTTTTTTTTTTTCAACTTTTATCTTCCCAGTGGCAGAAAGCAAGACAAAAGATGATAGAGTATTACCCTCTTTGTAGAAATAAATAGAGGAAGCTATTTTTGATATATTCACCAGCTGGGATTGGTACAAGGCCTTCAGGAAAGACCTTCTGTTTTGGATCTGTCCATATTTGGAACTGTCATGATTCAGATATCTAACATCTAAATAGCTGGATGACATCCAAAAAACCACTGCAAAACAACCCACAAAAACCTTCTTAGAAGCAGATCTCCTTTTCCCTGCAGCTAATCACACCTCTTGTGCACAGCTCATGCAAAGCAGGTGGTTCTACAGTAGCATTCAGATACACTCAAAGGCACAGGCTGGCACCATAAACCAAATTTTAAATAATGGTAAACCCTGACCTGTTCTAGTACAATGCACAAACAAAGGAGTAAGGCTCTTCAAAGCACTGTAGCGCTTTCATTTCATTTAGAAATATGTGGGGTCAGTTTGTCACAGGTCTTATCAGCACAGCCTGTACTGAAGTCAGCTTGGAACAAGGCTTTGATTTTTATTCTGGGTTTGAGGACACAAGAATGAAAAATACAAAAAACTCTGATAAAATAATAACTCAAAAGATGTTCATATGGTTAAATGTTTTAACGTTTAAAACAAAAAATTAAAAATTATCTAAAAAGTTGTACCCCATAGTCCTTTAAGAGGTTGGTTTCTGAGCAGAAAGTTTCAGGGGAAAGGAGATAGGGATCTGCAATGTCCTTAAAAGATCAAATCTATCAAGCTTTGTTTCTGGCAGGTTCCTTTTCTTTATGTACCTCACATTTTTCCACTGCTGGTTGCTGCCCACACTCAGAGCTGTTCCCTGCCACAATGCCAGCCCGCAGGCTCTCGCTGTCGCCTGTCCCCTCTTCCATGGAAAAGGTTTTGGAGTGATTGCCTCGGTGGTGCAAGGGGCTGCGACTCTGTGCCAGGCTGAGCTGCTTGCGAAGCACACGGTTCTCCTCCTCCACCTCCCGCATGCGGACTTCCAAGCTCTCACGCTCCTGCTGGCTTGACGCCATGTACCGAGGACTGTGGGGCTGGGATTCAAGTGGAGGCAGTGACACTGGCTTCCCATCTGCAAGAGAAGGAAACAAAACACTTCTGTCAGAATATACTTCAAGTTGCGTTTTCCTTTAATGTCAGCACTGTGAGGCAGGGAAGTGTTTCAAAAACAGCCACATTTTAAACAGACTTGGCACTTCAAAGCAATGCTTAAGTGCATGGTCAACACGGACAAATGCTGAAATTCTATGAGGTACAGGTCCCACTAATATTAAAACCACAGTAAAATATAAGCATGTGTTTCTTTTGTTCTGGATAGGGCTGCCTGCCACTCTCTAGTCTGGGAAGAGAGTCAAGAACAGAAGGATTTAATGCAAATAAAATTAATATACAGTTAAACATATTTTAGAAATGGAAGAAAAAATATTTTTCCTATTCCCCATTTCCTCCACATTCAAGCAACAGCATTTTGGTTATCATTTTGTGTCAAACAGCAGCCCCAGCTGATTCACATGTGAGGAGCAGATTCAGCTCTTCGTGAGAACATGAGTTTTTATTCAGCAACACAGTGCTTTCTGAGAAATAAGAGGTTTAGGACAGAAACATTCCATACACATGTGGGTCAAATTCTGGAAAGTATTTTGGGTAAAAAAGACAAGGGAATTTTGAAAAAAAGTCAAATGGCTCAATTCAACACCTTTAACTGAAAAGTTATATTCCAGAAATATGAAACACTTTATTTCCATATTTGCAAAAGGTATCTTCTTTGTTAAAAACAGCAGTAAAAATGAGCTAGATATAAAGTATAAAAAAGACAAATTAACCTGAATCAAAGGTCCATAACAAAAGACAACAATTTCAACACATTCTGCCATCACTTCCCACTATATTATTGCTACCAATTTTTTAGTGAGCAAATAGGGATGCAGCTGATGTGTTTTCAAAGAAGACATATTTTCATATAATTTAATATATATATACATATACACACAGAATGCAAATGCTTGAAAGATGGTAAAAGAACCTCAAACTAAACTATTGTTCAAAAATTTTCAACCAAAATCAAATTGAAAAAAAGCAAAACACAGTGAGCTACCCAGTGTCATAATTAGCAAGCCATTCCTTTATAGTGAAGATATGTAAGTATCTTATACTAAGGTATTTCTCTGAAATAACTTTCTACCTGCATGTATTAAAAAAATAGTTTGCTATTTAGTAACTTTTCCAGTGCAGAGTCTCTTGGCTTTATCAAACACCTGCTTGAGTGGTTTAGAAAATGGAAATCATGCAGTTATTGTTTAGCAGTTCTCAGTAAGTGCATTTCTCACCCTCTCACTCAGAACCATCTCCCTTCTATAAAGACCTAATCACTGCTTGTTCGCTTCCGTTGCTTCATATTTACATGACTGGTGAGGAGACCTCTAAACTGAGTTAATGAAAAAACAGCTATACAAATAAAAACTTCGATTCTAATTTCCATTGTTGAATTATATAAGTGTACATACTTCATCTTATCTATATAAAGAGCTATCCTAGTTTTAATACATCATTTGGATAGAGTATCTTCCATTTCCTTGCAGACTTTCTTCTGCAAAAATTTTTTATTGTTTTTCCATTTATTACTTTTATCATTAGCAAAGCTTATGAGTAAATCTGATCTTGAAAAATCTCTCAAGACAGATGCCATTGGGGCACTGTTATTTTGGAATTTGAACACATAGTTATTAAAAATTAAATGACAGACTTGAAAAGCCTGAAAATCATGGGTGCAACAATAGAGAAATGTCATCATTAGAACAGAGCCATGCTACAATTAGAAGTGCAATAAAATACTGAGTTATCTTTCTCCATCCAGCTTGGAAGGCATGGAACTGGACTTGTGTTATTTCTCAGCTGCTGATACCCAAGCTAGAAAGACTAAAACTAATATAGATGTGATTATAATGCATTCCTATTACTGGACAGCAAGACTGTATTGTATATACACTCTCAGATAAAAAGAAAACCAGCACCCCTACTCACCCACCCACAGAACAAACAACTTGTATATCAACATGCAACGCAAATCTAGCCGAAGACTTCATTGGCAATAATAACTCTCTACTTGGTGAATAGCCAGTATGACACAGATGTTACTTATCTCGTCCCATTCTTATCACTGGATTCTGCTACGTTCTCAAATAATTATCAGAAAAGGTAGCAAGATATGGAAGTAAATCTTGGAACAACATTCATCAAAATCTCAAAATACAGAAAAAAATAGGCGCTGCTTTCACTATTCTATGGACATAAATCAATAGGTCATGAATGCTGTTTTGCCAAAATTAAAAATTAACAAAACCACTACTATTCTTTACATCTAAACAATTGTAGCTATATTCATAAGAACAGTTGAACTGTTTCTACACAAAGAGCATAGTCTGAGAAAGGAACTGAAAGAAAGTATCACCTCACTGCCTCAGAATGGAAGTTGCAGCAAGTAATGAGACCAGCTCAATGTTTATGCAGCTTCAAGTTTAAATGCTAGTAAACCCCACTACTTTCTTCTCAGGGGTTTTTTGCTGGTATGTAAAGGGTGGTAAGGAAATCATGCCAGGAATTATACAACCAGCTGGCTTCTTGATCTGAAATATTTAATTAGTTGAAAGGTATTGATCTACTATAAAAATTATCCATGTTTTGCTATAAAGTGCTAAGCACAAGACATTTTCTGGGATGATCTCCTCAGGGTTCATACAGCTGGATAAGTCATGCATTGTTACTAGCAGTGATGATTAGTCTTCAGTAAATCTGGATGTATTTGGTATATTTGTAACACACTCCAACTCCCTGCTGCAAAGGATAATTTGACAATTCCAGAACCCATCTGAAATAAAATCAAAAGTGAACTGAGTTTGATCTTAAGACTGAGAAATCAAATAATTTTTGTCATAAATGTTGAGATGTTCTAGCTCATAATTTTTACACATCTGAGGTTGGTGAGGCCTGTGGCTAGGTATTATTTGATTTAGTCCTATTGCTAGACTGGACATGTGATGAAGATATTTTTATTACTTCAGTGAACATACAGACATGGCAGAATGCCTCTTGGGAACTACTGCCTAGTAGGTAAACTAGGCTAGTAAACTGCCTAGTAGGTAAACACATGCTACCCTGATCTGCTTCCTATCAGTTTTCAAGGCAATGCAAGAACTGTGTGCTTCAGCTCATATTTGAAGAAGGAGTAAGTGGACTAATGTGAGGTAACACTGATATTTGATTGTGTGTGCTGCTTGGCAGAAGAGTTAAACTGATTGCAATGCACTTGAGTTTTATAGTTTTAAGTAACTGGGAGAATGCTCTGAGCTGATGTCTAGGCACTTTTTATCTAATCTAAATCAAAATAACATAACACATAAAGAAGTCTGTGTGACTTTGGGACAAAAGATCTCCCAGGGAACACTGCAAGGAACATTGCTGTGCTCTGAGGCAACTAGTACACTTCTGAATAGTGCAATAAATAATAACAAAGGTATTATATTTTATTCTTCATTTGGGGTTATTGCTCTATTTTTAGGCCTTTGCAGTCTCAGATTTAGTATTTTTCTTTCTATTTGTGCCAAGCCTTTTATGTAAAGACTTTTTGTGCTAATACAACTGAACCACAAAAATAAAAATCACCACTGTCCACAAAACAAAACCCAAACACAAACCTGAATAATTATTTCATGATTGATAGCAGTCAATGACTTATCATTACAATAGGTCCAACAATTCAAAAAACTTGATAATATGCAAGTTATGAATTCTATGGATTACTGAATGCTTCTGCATGTGTGGAGTCACCTGTATTTAAGGCAAGAGATTTCATGAAACTTTACTTAAGAGAGCACCTTAAGACACTGGAAAAAATAAAGTCTATAGAAAACAATCCAGCATGATTTATTTGAAAGAAGGGCTGAAGCAGTGGAATTTTCTTAGATAGAAAACCTAAAGGATAAGCATTAACACCAAGTTCCTAGTTTCATAGTTATCAAACTTGGAAAAGTGATAGTCCTGAAAAGGACTCAGTGGTGTTGGAAGCTTGCTAGAGAGAAAGGCACAGAGAAAATAAACTTTAGCCAAAGGTTAACTGCAAGGCTGGATAAGGGAGAAAGAAGAAGAGTATAGGGAACAAAAATTCACCCCAATTCAGAGGAGAAGACAAGTGCAGAAGCAGTGATCCTGAGTTTCTCAGATGATCCTGATCTGAATTCAAATGCTTAAAATTTTGTTAGGCACTGAGACAAGCAAATTTATGTAGCATGTTGTGGGATTTTTTTCCTTAATTTTTTACATTTCTTTTGCTATTTTAAGTGCAAACTACTTGCTCTTTCAGCATCTTTACAAGGTCTAGAGGTCTCTATGTGTTTTAGCTCTTATTCATCCCCTGCATAATAGCGTGTAATGCCATTATAATGAATTAACTGATGACAGTGAACTCTAGGCACCCTTTGAGATAAAAGGAAGTTATACTGCTCACAGATAATGTTTCAGTCTGTCTGACTACAGATACAAGAAAACACCACTCCTCCATTTCACATTTGTTCACATCTGAAAACTCACATTATCAGTGCACCCTTTGAGGACTAGCAGTATAACAATTTTAACTAAAAGCCAACATACTGCAGAAAGAACTGGGATAGCAGGCAAACCAGCCTCATGAATTTTCCCCTGTTAAGGCCACGAGCAAAATCATTTGAAGTTCATTCCACAATTATTTTTTTCCCCATAAAGACCATTGTAGAGAACTCCATGGACCCTAAGGGAGAAGAAAAATAGAAGTCTGCAGTGAGGACTAATGGAGACATAAAAGCTCTGCGTAAGCAGATAAACTGTCCCTTTTCTTTGGGAGCTCTAGCTCAGCTTTCATCATCTAACACCTTAGTACTCCATGCACTTCTGCTCAGCTGGATACTCTGGTAGGTATTGGTTATATGGGCAACTATGAATGAAGTCCTTTTGTTAACAGTTTGACACTAAGATATATGCCCCCACAAGCAGGTGCTAAAGCATCGCAAGGTGCCTATTCTCACACTCACCAAGGTATTTTTT